ACATACCAGTCAGCAGTTATTATCTCACTTTTACAGGATTTCAGTCGTCTACGAATACAAACCATTGATGTGCACTTGAATGCTGGATTCTTTATTCTCCACAAGACTTGAGCTACACCTCCTTAACAAATAATAGCTAACTAAGTTATTGAGTCCACCAATTCCTGACATCCTATTCCAATCACTTACCATGTAACATAGAAACAAATTGCATTCTTTCTTTGTTCGGTTAAATCGGTGCAGATTATAGGGTATAATACTATGTATACTGTGATCGATCACCTTCCAAATTATTATGTTAGATAGAGTGAATAAATTTGAAATTCCTTCATAAGTATTCTGACCATTTTCCTGCTTTTATGTGTGCTCATGTACAGTCATCGTTTTTCATACAATTAACTCAATGAATCTGTAAATTGAATATCCGAGGAGAGAACAATGAAAATGGCGTAAATGCAATTTCATTACATGTTCTCTTCAATTAACCGATTACAAGAGATCAATCAGTAAACAATGGAATTCGATTAGGGCCTTTGTTTCACTTCAAATAAATAATGATATATTTTTTTAAACAATAAAATTTAAATGGTGTGTGTTGAAATAAATTAAGCTAAGCTATAATTGAATTTGTTTTTTCATGCAAACTATCATTTTTCCCTGATTTAATGAAGTGGAAACATGAAAATTCTACTCGTCAATCGTACATGAATGAATGGCGTGTTATAGGAATGTTTTTTTTCAATGCCATTTGTAATATTTCCTCAACAACAACAAAACAAAAGAAATTGGACAACATTATGCATTGAATGCTTTACATTATTAAAACAATGTTCAATTGATAAAAATCAGTCAGTTTGAAATTTATTTGAATTATATATTCTTTCTATTTCACGATGATAGGAAATTTGATTGAAGGGTTTTGTGATGGTTTGTTTCATGTACTGGACTAGTGGGTAGATATTTTTTCTCCTAGTAAGGAACTATTCAGTAGTGTGCACTCACTAACATGTAAGGCATGAAATGCTTTAACTAATGTTTTAGTACACAAGTATTCTTTTTGTTATGATTGAACGTAAACATGTCATTTTGATATGCTTGATTTATTATGAGTTCACCTTAGTCGGAAAATGAGAACGAGGATCGAGGATCCGGCGACACGTCATGCTACTCTAATCCGATTGTCCCAACCTCGATTGAATAAAAGAAGAAGACTTGATATGAAGTAGAACCTGTATTCTACAAACATCCAGAAAGGTTCAAGTCCAGAAGAAGGCAAGGATCCCGGACTAAGGGTCCGGTTCATAAAACGTTACAGATAATGCGTATTTATACATTTAAGTCCAATAGGAAACAGCAACGAAGTCTGTGACATTGACATTTATGGCGATTAATAGGAAAAAACATTTGAAGAGACAATGATAGCTAAGACGACAGTAATATTGACCAATAGGAATCGACCAATATAATTTGCATTTACAAAATGATTCTTCGTAAGATATTTGGTGAATGCTGTCGTTAAGAAACGAGTTCTAGGTAAGGATGGCAGATCAATCGATGAAGTGGTGAAACTTCATCAGTTGAGTTGGTTGTGACATGTGTTACGTATGGCTAACCACCGACTGCCTCGACGAGCTATGTTTTGTGGTGTAGGAGTAGATTGGAAGAAAGCTAGGGGCAGCCAAACCAAAACATGTCTGAAATCCATGAAGTCACTGACAAGTGAACTGAGTCATGTTGGTAGATGTAGACTACCTGATTGGGGTCCACGAAACGATAGTCACCGATGGTTAGAGACCTTGAGCGACATGGCTCAAAATCGCTTGCAGTGGTGCAGGTGCAACCACTCTTTGTGTTCTATGAAATTCTAAGCTTCTGCATTCCTCATAATCTCTACCTTTCTCCTTCTAAATTTATCTTACTGAATTATACTTCTCGAATCATATCTTCGCTTCCTAATCTTCTCCATTACTGCTAATACTTCTATTATTGCTATCACTCTTGGATTTGTAGTGACAGTTGCGTATCTGTGCTGATGGGGCATGGAAACCTGAACCGATGTACTTACGTACGAAGTTCTGCGTTGTATCTGTCTGTCTGTCTGAATATCCTAACATTTTTAAAATTTATACAAATCGAATTAGTTCTATCATACTCTCCTGTGACATGAATTTGGAATAAATTAGAAACCTTAAAGAAGTATAAAAACAATATTGCTATAATCCATGATTATTATTTTTACATAGATTGATAATCTGTAATTTCCTGGACATAAATTCCGAAAACAATAATAAATCACATTTCAAAACACTAGTCATTTATATACGTTGCTTAATTATAAAACAATAGGAAATAGGTTAAAGAATCGATTATGTAATGACTAATTCCGGTAACTAATTGATCTTGCTTGTATTGATTACTTTTTTTCGCAATTAATTATTGTTACTTGAAGCCGACTAAAAACTGTTTCGATGATAGAACGCAATTAGGTACACAATAGGCGTACTGAACTACTCCACCTGTAGAACTTCTAGGGTCCAAAGCACAGATAAGGTAAGAAGTTTGGGCACGTTGTTGAAATCCCGTTGAAATCCAACTCGCTGAAAAAAACGCTAGCCAGAAACATGATTCTTTGGTCGGTAGCCTGCGCTTTATTTGAGGTAACAGGCGTAAGTAAGTTAATAAGATTTACTGGCCTATAAAGTGAAACCTCTATTCTGTAAACATTATCTACTCATTCAAATCATGGTTAGGTCAACATTAGAAACCTGGAAGCACTGGATGGCCGCCTCGTCCTGGTATGGGACTCCTCAGTAGTGCGCATCCACGACTCCTGCACCCCGCAGGATTCGAACCCAGGACCTTCGGTATTGTGCGTGAACGCCCTGACCGTTAGACCACTGAGCCGGTATCTAAGGGTGATAATGTGTAACTTGTTCAGATTTGTTGGAGTCGTGGATGCACACTGCTGAGGAGTCCCATACCAGGACGAAACGGCCATCCAGTGCTTCCAGGTTTCTAATGGTGGTCTAACATTGATCGATTCATGGTTTCAAAAATGTGTAACTAAGCGATCTTCACAACCCCGTAGAGGTTCTTTTCCATCCGAAGTCAGAATCTTATCCTATCCAATTCCAGTACGTTTTCTTCAGCAGCAATCTGGTTTGTTCTCTCCCATAGTACACTGTTACTGATAGTGTCTTGCCAATGAATCCGAAGTTTTTTGCTTAGACAACGGTTAATAATCACTTGTATCTTCTGGATGATGGCTTTCGTAGTTCTCCATGTTTCCGCTCCGTACAGTAGAACTGTCTTGACATTTGTATTGAAAATCCTGATTTTGGTTTTGGTTGAAAGTTGTTTGAAGTTGCAGATATTTTTCAATTGTAAAAATGCAGCCCTTGCTTTGCTGATTCGCGCCCTCACATCTGCATCAGATCCACCTTGGTTATCGATAATGCTGCCCATATATATATATATATATATATATATATATATATATATATATATATATATATATGCATAACTAAAAGTACTCACAATCAAACTGTTTCCAAATCACTATACTTTAACTTCATTCATATACTCAAAACGCAGCTTACCCGATCATGTCTATGTCAGTGACTTGGAAAAATCTTAGTGAAGATTGTTGAATGAAAATAATTTGAGGACATAATTCCAATAGAAATTCGGCTAGAATATTATTTGAACAAACAATATATATTTTCTATTGTCATTTATTAAATAATACAACTAACTAACTAACTATCTATGAATACATTTTTTTTCACTCAATAATCTATTGCTTAGTTTAGTTTTATTGTACTTTGTATTCCGAATTCTTAAGATTATTATTATTAGTAGTATTATTATAGCGAACTGTATATTCACCAAAAAGAAAAAACAAACAAGAAATCTAAAATATCTAATCTAAAAGTTTCTTAATTAAAATAAAAGTGAAAAGTGGTTCTTGTTTTATTTTGCTGTTATTGTTGCTGTTGTATGCACAATGGTATGTTCACATGTACTAGTAAGTAGACCATTGATTGTACGATTGTCAATTTATTCTTCTATTGTAATCTCTCTAATACAAATTCTTCCAAGAAATCATGTTTCTGTATGCAAACGAACACACAAACGTACACACACACTGAGGGAGAAAACATATTACTTTCTTTTGCGTTTGATTTTCTCGATGCATACAAGTGTATGTATATTGTTTTTTGATGGTAGAGAATTTAAAAAGAATAAAAAAAGAACAGAACATATCAGATAAACATAATTATTCATTGTATCAATAAATAAAAGAGTTTTGAAAGAGAAAAAAAGAAAGAGATCAAAGATAAGAATTATAGCATTCGTTCAAACTAGGCAATGAATACAATATATATACATATATATATATATATATATATATATATATATATATATATATATACATAATTAGTAGTAATTAATTACATTGTATTTATGAAGAACAGTAAAAAAAATAGAACTCGCTCACTCTCTCCCTCTCTCTGTTTCACCGACTTGTTTTCAATAGATTGAATGCACTGATTATTACAAGTAGATGTTTCTGATCAGCAATTTTAAGTGACTCGTAATAAAAGAAATCAGATTCTTTTGTATTTGATTTGAAGTAGTAGTAATAGCAGTAGTGGTAATAATAATAATAATAATAGTGGTAGTAGTAGTAGTAGTAGTAGTAGTAGTGGTAGTGTAGTGAATGAGAACTCAGGTGGGGCAACCGAATTGAATTTAACGAAAATTACAGAGTTACTCAGTAAAATCGGAAAACCATATCGTAAATCGTTCATTTGCAAATTATCAGTTCATCATATCGAACTGGACTGTTCTTGTTGCAACACATCAATCCATTGTCACTATTCATGCGTTTCATTCAAATTCCATTGTGTTCCCACTCTTCCTTTCTTGATCTTCCCCCATCTTCTGCCTGCCAGACATTACGTTGACACTCACGCCATATACTACTTATAAGTAGCTCACACCACAGTAGTAGTAGTGGTAGTAGTAGTAGTAGTAGTAGTAGTAGTAATAATAGCAGTAGTAGTAGTAGTATTAGTAGTAGTAGTAATAGTAGTAGTAGTAGTAGCAGTAGTAGTAGTAATAGTAGTAGTAGTGGTAGTAGTAGTAGTAGTAGTAGTAATAGTATTAGTAGTAGTAGTGGTAGTGGTAGTAGTAGTAGTAGTAGTAGTAGTAGTAGTAGTAATAGTAGTAGTAGTGGTAGTAGTAGCAGTAGTAGTAGTAGTGGTGATAGTAGTAGTAGTAGTGGTAATAGTAGTAGTACGGAAATACGGATGGATTGATAATGATCTGAAATCTTTAAGCTTGAGAATGTGAAATTTCATTTTATTGTTAATTAAAGAAAAAGGTAGCATTTTATTGCATCCCCAAAAATTCCCCTATAATTTGGTTTTAAAATGAATACTACCATCATGGATAAAAATCACAGATTTTTGAGATTACAATATATTAAACAAGTTTTTTAGGAATATTTTATACTTGAAATTTTGTTTTATATACAGAAAAATTTGATGTTGCGAAAAGAATCTAACAAAGAAAACTTCTATATTCATTTAAAGACATTTCTGACGTATTTTATCTTCAAACTTGTTATTCATTCATTTATTTGCATGATAGAATTATTGAGCCCGTTATTTTACATTAAAATCATGAAGAAACCATTGTTAAATCACCATTAGAAACCTGAAAGAACTAGAAGGCTGTTTTGTCCTGGTATGGGACTCATCATTAGCGCACATTCACAACCCTTGCCGCTAGCAGGATCCAAAACCAGGACCTTCGTTTTCGCGCACAAATGCTTAACCTTTGATTCATTGAGCTGGCATCTAACGGTGTTAATGTCAAACTTTGATCAATCTAAATATTTTGAGCAACACTGCTGAAGAGTCCCATACACAGACAAAACGGATGTTCTTTGCTTCCAGGTTTCTAATGTTGGCATGACATTGATTGATTCATGATTTGTTTTATACTTTAAATTGAAAACTTCAATGCTAAGAAACAAATTTAAACAACACCTCATTCAATCATCAATTTATTGACTTCTGCATTCATTTAAGGACATTTCTGACGTACATTTTGCGTAGAATTATTACTCCTTCATTTGTTGATTTGTTTAAATTATATTAGTTTTTTTATTGAAAGACTAACACAGACTTTGATAAATAACATTTCTCGTAAATGACATAAATAATGTGTTTTTCTGTCATTGTGCATATGTTCAGACGAAGTTTATATACGGGTACTTATTAGAATGTTTGTACGTTAAATTATTAGCACACTACATCAGTGTTTTTCTAATCAACAAATTAATGAACATTACCTTAATTAATGACAAAATCTTATTTCGACTGTGAAGTGAAAACAAATTACCACTGTAGCATGCATGATAAGACGTAAGTTTCTTGTCATTACTGAATGAATTTGCACATTTGTGTAATTAGTTTTACAAAAATTTACCTGCACTTTACGTCAACTCAGTAGATTTTCGTTGGATTTTCTTTCAACAATCACTGGATCACTGGAATTTGCTAGTTTTGAAAATGATACCCCACCAAAAAATACAACCTTGTTTTGTCTCAAAATTACATCAGCCAGGATAATGTCAAATAGAAGACAGCATTTGTTAATGGATTTACTGAGGTATGAAAATTAGTTAAGCGTAAAAAATGTTTAGCTTTTGTAAAAAAAATTATAGAAAGTTGTAGCAGGTAATTTTGTAAAGTTATGAATTTTCGTGAATCTTTTGTTTGTTTTTTTTCAATCGAAATAATTGTCTAGAATTTTAAACATTTTATTGAAATGTGTGTTTTACTTGACAAAGTTAATCACCACCGTTTTACAGTCTATGAAGTGTTGCTAAATTTAGACGATTCTGTCAGAGAGAATGTAAATAATAAATGTTCAGGTTTGAGTTTTGGGAGAGAAAAAAATTTAAATTATTTTTTTGAATTGTCTGTTAAAAAAAATTTATTTACTGGTTTAGTACACAAAATTTTAATAATGAGACTGAACTTATAAGGATTGATGAAGCTAAGTATACTGAGTTAGGTATGTGTTATGTATTAAGGTTCAGAGTACAGATGTGAATAGAGTTGATAGTGAGCATTGTCTGACAGTCATGGATCAGTTGTACCACTACAGGAAGCTGTGTGAAATTCAGATGCAGAGCGTTTCACCATTTAGTCACATAATTTAACATGAATAGTTCGGCTGGTTGCAAATTGTCATATAAGTGAATAATTTTACTGGGAGACAGGTTTAAAGAGTACATTTTGGAATGAGTTGATAGGTTGTTTATTAAAGAGTGGGTAGATATCAGTTAACTGCAGTTATTTTAATGCTATTTTTCCTCAGCAGTGTCAGTCAGATATTATCACTTACGATAAGAAGACATCATTGGAATCGTTTTAGTGAATAAGCTTCATTTTAGGCTATTTTTGTGAAGCTGATCACTACAAGTTTGAAATAAATTCCTGTTGTCAAATGAAATCATACCTGTTAAGTAGTATAAAATAACATGGTGAAGTTTAACACAGAAGCACTTCGGAAATCTTATGTTTTGTAAATGTTTCCACTGTATGAATTTCGGTATAGTTTACATAGTAAATTATAAATAAATCTAAAAATACATTGATTCTCCTAATTTCTTTGGTATAATTGCACGTGAACATTTAACCTACTATCTGCTGCAGTTAAAATTTTGGCAACAACAATTGAACAAGCGCTGTTCCGTTGTTACCTTAGTTATTCATAGATATGACAACAAATTTTTTGTGCTTAGTGAATGAATTGGTTGGAAAGTAACAAGAAGCTAATTTGACATAACTTATGACATTGAGTTTAGGTTAGAGAGATAAACTAATGTTCTGGCATTGTTTCAGTCACTCTTTATTTCATATGATTTTGTCTTACAAGTGTTTGGTATTTACTTAAACAGATATTCATTACAGAGTTATGGAGATTGTTGTTTTTGATTAAAATCATGAATCAATCATTGTTAGACCACAGTCAAAAACCTGCAAGCACTGAATGGCCGTTTGGTTCTTGTATGCGACTTTTCAGTAGTATGCATTCATGACCCTGCTCGCGGCAGTCGAACCTAAGACGAATGCTTCTTCTGAACAGCATCATCAGTTTGTGCTGATGATGTTTTTCAGAAGAACAATGAAAGCGCCACAACCAAAACATCCAGCTCAGTGAACCAAACACCACCACAATCATCCATCTCGGCTACAAATCTTCTGCGTACAGTATGTACGTCATTAGGCTCCTCAGAAAGTAAATAAACCTTATTGCTTTTATTCAATCGATATGAAGTAGCAAATATAAAACCCTATATATTAGGAAAATATTTATGCTAGAATATCAGACTACTATTCACATCAAAACGTATATTCTGTGTCTACTTAAAAGCTTACTGACAGTAGTAGTGACCTCTTAGCTAATAGCTAATGAGTCTTGTATTCCATATGTTATTGAAAAGCAGCCAATGAAAGGATTATTGGCAATGAGCATAAATTTAGCCAACTATATAGTCGGAATAATTTTATTGATACAGTGCTTTCGATAGTCGGTACAACAATTCCTAACTTTATTTCTTATACCATGAATATATATGAGATCTACATCAGTTTGTATTTCTTATTAATGTTTCATGTATATCATTTATATGCCTACTTATTTCGCTTTTCTTATTTTGTTTACTGACATGTATTTGTGTCAATGAAAGGGAAAACTGTTTATTGACTGTTTTGATAATTTTATTATTAATTAGAAGCGACTTACATCCCATCTTGTGCTTATGAATTTTACACTGAGAAAAAAGCAAGCATATTTTTAAAATTTTTATGGTTTTTAAAGATTACACATCATAAAATAATTTTCCAAAGATTCCATTTATTTAATTCTTCGCAAGAATGACTCATAGTTTAACGAATCTTCATTACAATAAGTTATATGTAAAATTATTCAGTGATCTGGAGGTTAAGCGTTTGCGTGCAAAACCCAAGGTCCTAGGTTCAACTTCTGCGAGCGGAAATCGTAGATGCGGACTACTTACATGTCCTGTACTAGGACACAACGACCTTCCAGTGCCCCCAGGTTTCTAAGGGTCGTGTAACAATGATTGTTTCATGATTTTAATGTGTATTCTAGTTTAATGAAAATGAAAACTGGTTTAGCATTCTAATAAAAGACAAATTGAAGTTCATACTCTTCGTTTGTTTCCTATTAGACTTTGATCTAAACGTCTTCTTCAATATAAATGACAAGCATTTCGTTAGATACTTTATATTTGTTTTTGCGGATTATCGAAGAAGCTGTAGAGAAAGATATTTCATTGTAAATTGTTTAAAAGAGAGGTAAATAAATTCTATGTAAATGTAACGAAATTGTTATGACTTGAGTCGCGACATCAGACAATCCTAAATTAAATAATGATGAACAGCTGTTTTGTTCAAACTTGGGATCCTGTAGCACTGAAGACCTAAAGCAATACAAAAAAATCATTTTCGAGCCACAATGTTGATCACATACCATTAAGTTACTGAATCGGAAAAATAGTCTACACTCTCACATTTGGCCAACAAACTATATTGAGCGATTCTTATCGATTGTCATGGATTATTCATTGTTTTATTTCGGAAAAGGTAACAGCATCACAACGCTTACTTACTTACTCTCGTTATCCCGAATGGAGTATAGGCTGCCGACCAGTATTCACCAGCCTACTCTATCCTGGGCTTCTATTTGCAGTTCTGTCCAATTTTTATTCATTCTTCTCATATCTTTTTCTATTTCTCGGCGTAATGTGTTTATTAGTCTTCCTCTTTTTCTTTTATCATGAAGGTTCCATGTGAGGGCTTGTCTTGTGACGCAGTTCGGTGCTTTTTGCAGTGTTTGTCCTATCTACTTCCTCCGCTTCTTCCTGATTTTCTCCTCCGTGATGGAATCTGATTTTTTCTTCCCCACAGTAGGTTGTTGCTGATCGTGTCTGGCCAACGAATCTGAAGTATTTCATGAATACTTGTATCTTCTGGATAATCGCTTTGGTGGTTCTCCAAGTTTTCGCTCCATACAGTAGAACTGTCTTGACATTTGTATTGAAGATCCTGATTTTGGTGTTGATTGATATGTGTTTTGAGTTCCAGAGGTTTTTCAATTGTAGAAACGCAGCTTCATATCGGAACACTGAAAAATTCATTTTAAAGGTTTACATCAATGAGTAAATATTGTTTAGTTGTACAGTTTTATGAAGATTCCATCATTTTCATTACTAAATATTTCCACTTTCGCATTTCGTTAATTTACTCATTTTTCAAATTCATAACTACATTTCATGTATCACTAAATA